CCTTTGGAATACAAAGGCAAATTCATGTGTCCAAGCATTCTAAAGTTTCTTTCTTTCTCCCCTCCCTCCCTCCCTCCCTCCCTTCCTCCCTCCCTCCCTCCTTACCTTTCTTTTTCTGATCTGTCTTTGTAAGTTAACACCTGTTCCCAAAAGCCATGTGCTAAATGCCCCTACTGTTCTGATATTTGTGAGGATTCTGATATCACAATAATATCACTCTAGAATTCACCATGTTCATCCCTCAGATTAGTTCTCAACATTAAACATCAGAGAAAGGAAGAAAATGTGGTCTTATTTGAAGAGTAAGACTTAAAGATAAAGATGAATCCAATGTCATTTAAATTACCTGACGATTTGTTCTTCAGGCTTCAAGAATCCGCCTTCATACACTTTTCTTTCTTTAATGTACTTGTGCTATCTCTAGATCGAATCTCTGTTGTCCATGTAAAACCAGACAGCTAAATGCAGCAGGGAAGTGGCTAAGTCCAGGTTTGCGCGACAAAGCAAATGTCAGGAAAAAGATGCAGGGGCAAATGGCAGCCTCTTTCTGAGTGTGTTTATTCACTGATGTAGATTATTTCACTGTGGCCGCTTCCTGGTAGAGGGTCGAAAGCTCTATCCCCACAGCTCTCCAGTTATGGGGACATTTGTAGAACTCAGTCCCTTCATTATTTATGGTGCCATTTCCATCTAAGCAGAGAGGGAATGGGAAGATTGTAAGAGCCGGAGGGAGGGCAGGCAGGGAGCTGCTGTAAGCAAAGTAGCTTCATAAAATAAAAGGAGGGGAGGGAGTGGACCTGGAGGAAACAGAGAAGGAGTGGACGAGCATAATCAAGAAGTGTCGTTTGAAATTCCCCGAGTTAATAAAAATATAGTAAAGGAAATTTTCCCTCAGGCTTTTCCCCCCTTTTTTATTGGAAAATAGACTCTCTTCTCATACAATACATGCTGATTAGGCTTTCCCCTTCCTTCTCTCCTCCCAGTTCTTCCCCTCCCTTCCTCTCCACTTGCTCCTCTCCCCTCTGACCCACTCTCTTTCTTTTTCTCATTAGAATAGAACACACCTCTAAGAGATGACAACCAAACATGACAACATAAAATATAGTAAGATCAAGCAAAAACGATCATATCAAAGTTGGACAAGGCAACCCAACAGGAGGAAAAGAGTCTAGAGAGCAGACACAAGAATCAGAGACCCACCCTTTCTCACACACCAAGCAAAAAGCTCGCACAGATACAAAGATAACCTGCTGCAGAATCATGTAGGCACTGCTTGCTGCCCCAGCTTCTGAGTCCATAAGAGGATTCCTTAGCTGATGCAGAGGGCCCTGTTCTCCTGGGGTCCTCCATCCCCTCTGGCTCTTACAGGATTTTTGCCTCCTCTTCCTTGGGGCTCCCTGAGTTCTGAGGGAAAAGATTTACTAGAGACATCCCATCTGAACTCTCTTTTGTTTATATTTAGTTATTCAGGCTGCGTACCCTTCTGAAACATAATCATATAATTTCTTTAAGATATTTTCCATTTCAGCAAAATATTTATTAATGAATAAACATAATGACTCTGAGGAATTTTTCTTTTGGGATCGGTGACTTATAAAAATGAAATAGACGATTTCTTCTTGTATCCACTTCACTCCACATTGTGTAATGGCATAAACACTTCCACAGAAGCAGACCCGCCTTTCCTAGTATTCATTTCACACTTCAACTTTGCTTTTAGATGAAGACGAGAAGTGCATAAGGTATGTGGCTTTTTTATCACTTAATAAATCTATATTGCAATTCTATAGACTCTGAGATGCTTACACTTAAGTTGCTTTTAAGACAATATCCAAAGCAAATGCTTATTAAAATTACTCAGTTGTGTGCTATGCCTTATGTTTGTTATTTGGAGTCATACTACAGTCATTGAATGTATTTTTAAGTGGACTTGAAATATATATTTCACTTTAAATTTCTCCATCCCAAACAATATCCGCTTAAAAATAATAGATATGAATATTTTCTACATATTTTGATCCTATGCATAAAACAAACATAATTTGATCATGGCTAGCCTAAAACCATTTACTCCATAATGTAGAAAACATGGGAAATTCAAAGTGAAATTATGAAAATTTGTTTAGGAATACAAATTAGTTTAGAAAATTCTGTTTTGGAGTACAATTCCTTAACTCAAACCACAAATTTATGATCCAGTACTGAGGTCTCTGACTTAGATGTTTGATATATGACATTCTTTGCCCATTTTTTTTTTCTGTTTGAGATAGAAAATATCATCTTTAACCTTTAACCTTTCTTACATCCAGCACAAACAACCAAGCATTCCCAAATGAATGACAAGGATGCTGCAGACAGTTTGGGAAGAAGTGATGATGTTTTAATTATCTGAATGGTTGACAAGGGCAAGAAGAGAGGAAATGCTGAGTCTTCAGTGGTGACAAAGGGGGAACCGCAGGGGTGCAGAGAATGGGGGACTGTGTAGGGGTGCAGAGAATGGGGGACTATGCAGGGGTGCAGAGAATGGGGGACTGTGTAGGGGTGCAGAGAATGGGGGACTATGCAGGGGTGCAGAGAATGGGGGGACTGTGTAGGGGTGCAGAGAATGGGGGACTATGCAGGGGTGCAGAGAATGGGGGGACTGTGTAGGGGTGCAGAGAATGGGGGACTATGCAGGGGTGCAGAGAATGCTCAGTCTACACAGAGGAGCAACTACAGTTCTTTGGTCAGTTGGGACATTGTCAGATTTGTTGGAGAGTGAGAGCTGATCACTTTACCCTTTCATTTAAAAAAAAAGGCCACACACTAGGAGAGGTTTAGACACTTTTTGGATCCTTTGTAACTGGTAACAGCGCTCACTTGGATAATCTAGGCATTCCATAGATCTTCCATCACTCAAGTCTCAAGAATAATGTACGTTCAAAATGATTGTACTTATTTTGCAAATGGAGATTCAATCAGAACCTAAGTCAGCATGACTCAAAACCTATCTCCTAACCATAACATCATCTTGTGAATGAGGCTGGGCATAAGGGAGTACTAGGCAGAAACTTTCTTTGCCTATTCAACAAAACTAAAGCCACACTATCTCCTTGAGGATACCAAAAACAACAACAAGAAAAAAAAAGCTTTCATTGTAGACTATAATTATTTGAAAAGGAAATAGAAAACCCATTATCTTGGCCCTGGTTTCCTTCAAATCTCTGAGAATGCCACTTGTTTCCCAAGGAAACCTTAAGTTTAAGCTGCTACTGAGTTGTTTTAAAGTGGACAGAAAAATAGGAGGAGAGAGCATTCCCAAGGAGAACTGCCTTACCTGCTCTAAGGGAGAGTGAGAGGAAGTCATTCAGACCTCATGCTGCTTGGCTCCAAAGCTGAGGATGCAGAATCAGCTGGAGCTTTGGATCCTTCTTGTTTGCCTTTGAGTGTGTGTGTGTGTGTGTGTGTGTGTGTGTGTGTGTGTGTGTGGTGCTTTTATAAAAATCTCTAGTCAACTAAAAGGAAAGGGTGGTTTTTGTTAGTACAGCAAGGAGTCTCAAACCCTCTCAACGGGTGTCACTGATGATGTTTTGAAACATAAATAGCTCAAAAGCATTTACAAGAAATATGAACCTTAATGATGTTTTCAGTAGAGAGAAACTTAGGAAGACAAATAGGCATGGAAGGTGGTTAAAAAAAAAAAACTCTAAAGGTCTGGAAAAAAAATTGATTTAGTGACAATAGAGAGAAGAGGAGAAGGAGGAGGCAGAAAGGAAAGAAGGGGGAAGGGAAGGGGAGGGAAGGGGAGGGGAGGGAAGGGGAGGGGAGGGAAGAAAAGGGTAGGAAAGGAGAGGGAAGGGGTAAGTAGGGAAAAGGAGGGGAGGGAAGTGAAGGGAAGAGAAGGGTAAGAAAGGGGAGGGAAGGGAAGAGAAGAGAAGGGTAGAAAAGGGGAGGAAAGGGGTAAGGAGGGAAAGGGAGGGGAGGGGAGGGAAAGGGAGGGAAGGGACGGAAAACAGGACAGAGGACAGGATGGAAACAGAATAGTACTCATAGTCTTGGGATGCCTCTCACTGAGTGAAACTGTTATTTTCACTGCATTTATTAATACTTTCACATAGCTCTCTTAATTGCTAGATTATAAAATTTATTTTCAAACTAAAATTCATTTTATCCCTTTGGATTTGCATTTAAGATTTTTAGTAAATTGTGCATTTTATTTTTCTCTTTTTCTTAATTTTCCCTTAGTAATGTTTTATGGTTATTTAGGGTACGTGCGCGCGCGTGTGTGTGTGTGTGTGTGTGTGTGTGTGTCCCCATCCATCCCACACACCAAGGTTGTGTATTTGTAAAAGGACAATACGTCTCACAAAGTGAGAGACAGTTGGTTTTCTCCTCCTGCCTTGTAGATTTCTGGGCTCTACCACCAAGGCTGGCAGCTGGAAGCAGGTGATCTTACCCCCTGCCCTAGGCCACCAGTGCTCCTTTCAAATCGTCTTTACATTCATGAAACATTTGAACCTCATTAAAACCAACAGTGTAGAAACAAAACTATCTACCCTCGCTAAATTGTGTGTTCATATATCATAAATAATTAAAATTGGACGAAGGCCAGAACTCTGAGTGAAAACCATGCTTACAAATGCCCACGGTCTTCCAAAACCCCGCAGTATTCCAGCTCCAGAGAAGAAACGAGTTTTCCTCTACCTTCATAACTTCCAAAAGAGTAATATCCTAGGAAAGAACTCAGTTTAAAATGGCTGCTAGCAATCATGTGACAACAACTAATGAAAAGGGGACCACGAATTTGAAAGGGAGGGAGGGCTGGTGTATGGGAGGGCTTAGAGAGAGGAGAGGGGAGGGGGAGATGGTGTAACAATAATGCAGAAAAACTCCACAAAAAGCAGTTGTCGAATTAATGGGTGAGTCCTTGGCTGAATTGATGAGACTTTCTTTTTATTCTGTCACAGAGGGGAATAATAAAACACTAAGGATTTATTAAAATGCAATGTGACTGAGGGCATAGCCTAGTGGGTGAATATTTGCATATACAAAGCCCTGGCTTCATTCTCAGCACCAAGGAAAGTAAAAGAGACAACCAAACTCCCCAGACAAACAAAACCCAATGCATAACAGATGGCTTAACTTCACATTGTTAAAAAAGGAGAGCACAGAAGAAATCGGCCATGTTTTATTAGAAATGATTAGATGATGCAGAGAAGCCAACATTGCACAGCATAGAGAATGAAGAGACATGTTTCTTTAAGTAACCATTGATGCACTGCGGGAGGAGGAACCTTTCATGTCTGGTGTGCTGTTCTGAATCAAGACAACTGACATCTACCTATCTTTGTCTTCTTGAAGTAAACTCGGGTCTGATCTATACACAGAAGCATGCTAAAGGCAGGTATTAACTCAGAAGCTTCCACAGACATTCCTCTTCCATTAAGCCCCACTCACATTCATTCCAAGTGCATTTGATATTTATTCTGTACTCTTTGAGTAAAACTCTCTACATTGACTTTGGAAAGTAAATCATATTAGCAGGCCAGTAGGAGTTCAGCTTTGGTATTATCAAAGTGAGAACACACATACGGTAGCAGATTCCCAGGTATTGTTAGTTTAAAAGAAAAATTGTTGTACAATAAGTGCCTGTTCTTTGCTGCGAGTGGCACACAACAATCCGCACTAGGTTTCCCAGTTCAGTCAAGGAGTCTTCTGGGGGATTGTAACTGCTGTGGGTGTGGAGATGAGGCAGAAGAGCCTGTGGGAGGCGGGGCTTGGGAGTACCATAGGCTATTCAGAAGAGCGTTCAGTCCAGCTAACCCCAAGGAGTCCTCTTGCTTCTGGGGGGGTAATTAGTGGTCCCACTTATCTTCTCTTTCGCTTGCACTTTCTTCTTCTTCAGGGAATGCTGATCCATTCTGGCCTTTCAGATGCTTAACCCCTGAAATTATAGAAATTGTGCAAAATTCAAGTGAATTTTATTTCTGGTAGATCCACTGCTGGAAGAGTTAATGAAAATGTGCAATGGAAAACTTTTCATTGTGTGTGTTTTTCTCCGAGAATCTCAACCACGTGGCCTATATAAATCTTTTCATTCACTGAGCAGTAAAAGTACACCCAGCCGAATTTCCATTAGAGACAGGGTATCTTTTATAATGGCATCTTCTCCTTTGAGGATTGCATCACAGTCTATTAAAACCTTGTTGACCAAGATCTGCTCAGAGGCCCTTATTATAATTCTGATGTATCATTTAGTGAAAATATTGCTTTTGGCATCACCGAACTCAATTACAAGGAAGGCCTTTTAAAGTCATAATACTAAAAGGGATGTGCGCCATTTCTGTAACATATAAAAGAAAAGTAACAGTCACGACATTGTTACCCATATGCTTGGGCCCACAACGTACCCACTGGCTTGTGGAATTCTCTTATTCAAAATTCTTCAATGAGAATGCCTTCAGAGCAGAGGAATGCATAGGTATACCTTTGCCTATAGCTGTAACTCAGATGGCCTGGCTTTTCTTTGCCTGCTGGGCTTCATTTTTCACAGGGTTTTATTTCCATTTTCCACAGTAATTCTGCTCTAAGTGTGCTCTACCCCCCCCCCCGCCAGGTTCATTTAAGCCTCTAAGCTTTTCTTGTTCTGTAGCCAACACCAACAATCTTTCTCCTCCTCACACATCTGATCATCTTCCTCTCACCCTTCAGGTATCAGCTTGTCTCTCCTGAAGGATAGCACAAGCCCATGTGGAGTTAGAAAGTGGCTTCTCATATCCACCTGCTGCTCTTGATCCCTTCTGTGTCTGTTCCTTATAGAGCTTTGCCTCACTGTTCTCAACAGACAGAACTTGCTGATGTCAGAGAATGTCATTTCATTTTGGAATCCCAGTTAGAATGTCTACCCAGTAGTAAGCGTTCATTAATAAATAGTCTAATCCAATTGATTGAACTAATGCAGAAACAGTTTAGTATGTATCCTGCCAATTTCACAATAATGTAACTTCAGATTTCTTCCGTTATTCCAAATCTGAAGTACAATATTAGAAGATTACCACTATATCCACATTTAACCTGCATGCTTATCTTCAAGATAACTTGCATGCATTTTTATATTTTAGAAAACTGTTTTATGAGATTTTCCTAAGAATTATGAAAAGCGTTCAAGTTAGAATTGAAAAATAAAAGTAAGGCTTGGCTCATGTTTCAGTAAAACCAAGACTCAAGAAATAAGTGAGTTTGTATGCCTTGCTACCCCCTAGGCTTAGTGTACAATTTGTCAAGAAATGATATCTGGACTTGTTGCATTGTCTTGCAACAATATTTGAGCAGGTGTACTAACATTTAAATATTGCAATATGCATATGCAGATCACTCACAACTTCGGTTGACACAAGTCTGCAGGGAGAAAGTTATTATTAGAAACTGAAAATCACTTCATGTTGCAATAAGCTACGTAGAAAGGAGGGCTAGTTGCTGAGGGGAAGAAAGGGAGCGCACTGAATCCAAGCAGACTTTCTGCAGGAGTTTTCCACGCAGAGCTCACAAAGTCTCAAAAGTACGGGATGGAAACACCTGGATGGGGGTGTTGAGTTCTGAGAACACAAGTGTTTGGCTGTCCACTTTAAGGGTGCTAAGGTGACTTCTAGCACATCCTAGTGTGTGCATTGGGTATGTAAAGGCAGGGTGCCACTGTCAAGGCATCTCAGCCGAATTTCAACATTAACTTTTAAGACGCCAGTCCATACTCTCTGGCCATTCTCTAAGACAGGTCCTAGGTTTACAGTACCAATACTGCCCTGGTGCAGAAGGCTCTCAGCGTCCTTTTGACATTGTTGGGTTCATGCTGCCGCCCAGTACTCATTTTCCTGAGCAGAGGTTGACGGTCCCTCCCCAAGTGTGCTGAAGCCCCAGTGACTCCAGCATGCTTTCCATTCAACTACAAGGTAATGAAATCATGTTTGAGAATTTAAATGAGGAATGTCAATGCTAATTTGGGTAAATGTAGGAACAATAGAAAGAAAAATGCCAACATACTTATACATTAGCCAATCTATCCCCGCATTTGAGTACATACCTGTTTCTTTTCCTGATTTCAATTCTATTTCTTTTTATAATAACAGTCACCATAAATTTATATGAAACACACATTTTTAAAAAAATAAAACCACTCTGAAATAAAATATTTTCAAGGGAAAAGCTTTGATGAGGCAGAGCTGGTAACACATTACCACAGGTTTGTCCTGTAGAACACTTACCACAAATTCTCTAGTTTCTAAAGCAGTTTGCCCTAAAGTCTTCTTTCAGTTGAAGAATGTATAGTTGATTAATTTCTGTCATGAAACCCTTTTGAGCCACTATTTTCCCTTTTCCCATCAGCAATATTTATTTGGTTATAGGTCCAATGATATTGAAATACAGTCTATTGATATATTTTATGTCTTTCTCTACACAGTTTTAATTCATGCTTCATATCACAATTTTCTTTAAATACACATTCAACACTTGAGCAACCCCATAGATAGAGAAGAAGCTATTCTGGAGGTATTGCAATTCCAAGACTCCATCCTGACAGATGAATGATGAAAGCACGTCCCTGTACACAGTCTACGATGACTCACGTCTCCGTCAGAATCCAGTACAAATGTGGACTTGGCCATTACTGCACACAGCAGGAGACAAAGAAACCCCAGAAAGCACAATGGAGAAGCCTTTTCCACAATAACGTGAACACACAGAAAAGGGGTCATACAGAAGGCCAGGCTGTATAGCATGCATCTGTAAAATTATGAAGAAAATGGAGTTGAAGGTAGACAAAGTAAACTGAGTCAAAGAAGAAAACAGAAGGAAAGAAAGGAAGAGAGAAAGGAAGAGAGGGAGGGAGAGGAAGGGAAAGGGAGAGAGAGAGAGAGAAACAACACCCACAGGCAGAGCACTGTGTGTGTGCTCTCTCTTTACTCTGTAAAGCAGGTGGTTTGGTAGGCAGAGACAGGAACTGCCGGTTTATCCTCGACATGGTCTACATAATGAGTTCCAGGCTAGCTAAGGACACATAGCAAGATGACTTCTCTCTCTCTCTCTCTCTCTCTCTCTCTCTCTCTCTCTCTCACACACACACACACACACACACACACGTATGAAGCCACTTTGGTTGTCTGTAACTAAGTGACAAGTTTCCACGTGACACTATGGGAGCTTCTGTGGCCAGGGGCTGAGCATGAGGTTTTCTGTGTCACGGTTCCAATGAGAGTCAGCAGCACCTTAGGAAAGAGACTTTGCCTCTCACTTGAAGGCTTGGCTGCATGCATCAGAAGATATATTCTATAGGAACTGTACATGAAAACAGAAAGTTTGGGAAATAGAACATTGAGAAAAGATGACTGAGACTCCGACCTCATGAAAATGTGGAGGAAAGATGAAAGTGGATCTGTATGGCTCCCACGAGCATAAATAGACGAAAGTGGATCTGTATGGATCTGTATGGCTCCCACGAGCATAAATAGATGAAAGTGGATCTGTATGGCTCCTATGAGCATAAATAGACGAAAGTGGATCTGTATGGCTCCCACGAGCATAAATAGACGAAAGTGGATCTGTATGGATCTGTATGGCTCCCACGAGCAAAAATAGACGAAAGTGGATCTGTATGGATCTGCATGGCTCCCACGAGCATAAATAGACGAAAGTGGATCTGTATGGCTCCCACGAGCATAAATAGGGTCTGGGACTGACAATGAGGTAAGGAAGGAGTGGGTTGTGCTTGACACCAGAGAGGTAGTTCCCAAATCTCCTGCTTCTGCAGCAAAAAATATGCATGATTTTTGTCTATTTACTTGTTTTGTTTTTTGAGCCAGACCATCACATTATGTGTAGTCCAAGCTGGTCTGGAACTCATTGTGTAGCCCAAGATGACTTCGAGCTCATGGAATTTTTCTACCTTGACCTCCTGAAGAATGCTGAGCTTGCAGACTTGAGCTACCATGCTTGGCTCAAATGCATGTTTTTAAAACAAAGTCACAAATTCACCAGGCAAATGTAAAATTAGATTCTCTTTTTTTGGTAAAAGCACATTCTTTAGTTCTTAGCAATCACTCGAAAGTCCTAAGGCAATCTGTGGGTGTATTGTGAAACACCCATTGCCCTCGGAGAAGTCTATTTTTTAAAAAATGGTATTTGTGCCTTTTGTTTTTTGAGCCCCCACAATATATATTCAGCAGATCTTGGCCAGGCCTCTTATCTCTAAATAATTATAAATACAAATATTCACCAATAAAATCCCTCCAGCTTAAATAAGAAAGTGAAGTTTCCTTTTGTGTTCACTAAGACACAGTTGAATGACCATGACACAAACTTTAGGCCTGTGCTCTTGCTGGGAGCTGTTTGCCTGGGTAACTAGACTGTCATCCTCCACTTCCAATGATTTTTACAAAGTGAGGACCATAAAGAACATACGGTGACTCAACATCATGGGTTCCTTTTCCCCATCAAACTGGGTTTGAATGTAACCTATCCCATTCTGTTGGTTTAGTGGAATCAAGAAGATGTTGAGTTTTCTCTAACATGTAGACACTCTTTAAACATAACCCTAGGTCACAAATAGTGATGAAGTAAAAGGAAAGAGGAAGCTTTCGGTCTGTTGTATACAAAACTTTGGACTGGACTCTAGACATGAAAAATGTGGTCATTTAATCTTCATAGACAGAACCAAGCGGTTTGATTTAAACATAATAAGCCTCATCTGGGAAAGAGACAAAACTAGAGATCAGACAGGAAGGGGGATTAGAAGTGATGATGCGCACATGATTTAATTTAGTGGAAAAGTATTACGGATGAGTATAACAAGCCATGCTGATGAGTATCACAGTGCTCCAACTTGAGGAATAGCAATTTAGACAGCCATTTATAGAGCAATACGCTTGATGTTGGTACAAACACTACTTGCAA